TTCTCCTGCCTCAGCCTCCCAAGTAGCTGGGATATACAGGCACCCGCCACCACGCCCAGCTAAATTTTTGTATTTTTAGTAAAGGTGGGGTTTCACTCTGTTTGCCAGGCTCGTCTCCAACTCCAGGCCTCAGGTAACCTGCCCACGTCGGCTTCCCAAAGTGCTGGGATTACAGGCATGAGCCACTGCTCCTGGCCAGGGATATCAGACTCTTAATGTCAGACTTTTGGTGGGTGACTGTTACCTCATTTCCCTGCTGAGTAATGATGTTGGGTGCTCAGGAAACATCTGCTGATGGAACCCTGTGGTGGGCTACAGAGAGTGGCTCTCCACCCAGCAGGGAGTATCACTGTCATTGGCTGCCATGCTGGCCTCAGAAGCTGCTCCCCGTTTCACATCCTGGTCACACCTATACCCTGGGCACAGCTGAGATCAGACTAAGACATTCAGATGGACTTGGCTGAAGGCTTCCCACAGCTAGAAAAAAGACAGAGAAAATCATCGGTTCCCCAGCAGAGCTCTGCAGACAGGGCACTGATAGGAGGTCCCTTCCCAGTGTCCAGTGGCATCCACTGGGCAGAAGCCATCTTTCTCCACTCCTAGGAGGTACCTAGGGGCCACGTCACCCAGCCAGGAACACCATCTCCCCTGAGCCCCTGCTCTCTGTCTCAGGAGGCTGCATCCTAACACTTGGCACAGGCTGGGCCAAGCCCTGCCCATGGCCTGTGAGGTCAGCAGAAACTCCTAGCAGTGGCAGGTGAGCAGAGGCACCGGACCACTTCCCATCCTGGCCCATTAAAGCCTCCATGAACTCTGAGCTCTCCCCTTCCACAGTAACCTTGGAAGTCACGGGCTGAGGAAGATGGCACCAAAAGAGCCACATCCCTACAATCCCTCTTAGAGAAGTGCTGCCCACTGATCAGATAAATCCCATTATGAACCTTCTACAGGCAAGATACAAACTTCCCCTGCATTCGAACCTGTATGTCTGGGCTTTAAGACATCAGCAAGCTTTGCCCTCATACAGGTATATACAGTACAGTTGGCCCTCCACACCCGTGGGTCCCACATCTGTGGATTCAACCAACTGCAGACCAAAAATACAATATTCACAGGATGTAAAACCTGTGGATATGAAAGGTTGGCTTTGCCTATTGGCAGGTTCTGCAGAGCCAACTTTGGGACTTGGGCATCCATGGATTTTGGTATCCATGGGGGTCCTGGAACCAATCCCCCAGGACACTGAGGAGTGACTATTAAATATATAGCATATATATTTAAAAAACAGAAAATACATAGTACATATAATTAGCATAGGTAACAACTAGCCCGATTTTACAGATGAGAAAACTGACGCAGAGATGTTGGAGAATTTGTCCAAGATTAGTAAATGGAAGAGCCAGGATTTGAACCCTGGGCCTGGCTCTGGAGATTCCAGTCTTAAGCACTCTGCCTCAAGGCTGAATGAGCAGGCCAAGAATACAGAGGTGCAGGCCAGCTGTTCCAAGCAGCTCCTCCCGCCCACCTAGGCCTCCTCGGGCCTTTCACCCTTATGCAGTGAGAGGCGCCCCCTGCACCCCAGCCTCCTCGTCTTTCCAGGTGTCACCTTGAACCCTCCCTGTTCTGACCCTCACCTCTTGGATGGACCCAGCAATAGGGTCCCAGGGGTTTTTCCCTCTCCTACTCCTTACACACGCTTGGCACAACCTCCTTCTGGTGACCCCAAGGGTCTACCTTCCCTGGGTTTGCCCCCATCTGTTTTGAGAGAAAGCTGCCCCTGGGTCAGTGGGATCCACCTCCTGTCCACAGGCCCTATGTCAACCAGAGCTCTTTCAGTGACAAGACAGAAAGCAAACTGGCTTAGAGGAGGGAAATGTTTATGGGCTCATGTGACTAAGAAGTCCAAGGTGCACAGGCCTCAGGCCAGTGCAGCCCCAAGTGCCCACATGGCATCAGAAAGCTCTTGTCTCTGGACCCCTTGGCTCTGCTCCCTGTGCTGGCTTTGTTCTCAGGTGGGATGGGCCCTTGGGGTAATAAGTGGCTTCCAACAGCTCCCGGCCCACACGCATTCCGCCAGCTCCACTGCCCCAGTGTGGCCGCTGTCACCTCGCCAGCGATCTTGTCAAAACGCTTTCCCGATGGTCCCACCTGAAGTTCTGGGGCCCAGGACCCCACCTCTGCACCAATCAGTGGCAGAGTGTGGGTGGCTCTGTGAGGGGCTAGGCTGGAGCGCCACTCACACCCCTCACCCTAGGGAGTGGGCTCAGCTACCCAGAGCACAGGTTCCAGCAGAGAAGAGGTGGTTCCCGAAAGGAAACCAAAAGCACTGTGACCAAAGCGGGCGCCAAGAGGCAGGCAAGGCCCGCAGATGCCCCAGTTTCCAGCTTCCCAGGGCTGTCCCCTCTCCATGCCTCAAATCCTTGACCCTCTCATCAGCCTTGGCTGTTTCAACCTATCTTCTCCTTCTTTGGGCCCCTCACTCAGGGAAGGAGACCCGCCCCCTGCTTCACAGAGAAATCAGAGACCTGGGAAGATAAAAACTGCAAAGACCAGCCAGGTGCAGTAGCTCACGCCTGTAAGCCCGGCGTGTTGGAAGGCCAAGGTGGGAGGATCACTTGAGACCAGGAGTTCGAGACCAGCCAGAGCAACATAATGAGACCTCATCTCTACACATGCGCACGCACACACAAACAATACACGCCTATAGTCCCAGCTACTCTGGAGGATGAGGTGGGAGGATCCCTTGAGCCCAGAAAGCTGCAGTGAGCCATGATCATGCTAGTCTTGGCAACAAAGAGAGGCCCTCGCTCTAAAACAAAACAAAACAAACAAATTTAAATTAAAAAAAGTGTTACCTCTGGCTGGGCGAGGTGGCTCACGCCTGTAATCCCAACACTTTGGGAGGCGAGGTCAGGCGGATCACTTGAGGTCAGGAGTTTGAGACCAACCTGGCCAACATGGCTAAACCCTGTCTCTAGCAAAAATACAAAAATTAGGCAGGAGTGGTGGAGGGTGCCTGTAATCCCAGCTACTTGGGAGGCTGAGGCAGGAGAATCTCTTGAACCCAGGAAGTGGAAGCTGCCGTGAGCCAAGATCACACCACTGCACTCCAGCCTGGATGAAAGAGTGACTCCATCTCAAATTAAAAAAAAAAAAAAGTTCTCAATCCTCTCCCCAAAACCCACTCACTGCCTATCCCTTGGCAGGTTGGGGTTGGCCTGAGGTTCCCCTACCTCACCCTATCAATTCTCTCCCATCCTGTCCCTGCAGCCACTCTCTCTTTAAAAGTTTGCATTCCTGCCATCTAAAAACCACCCCCATACATCCATATAGTATGAGAAATTTATATATATGTAACATATAATGTAAATATATATACATAAACAAACAAACCACCCCCAACTCTGGTGCCCCACACTCTGAGCAGTCTCTGGTTGGGATCTCTAACTACCGCTTTCACATGCCTCAGGGTCTTTTACCTCCAGCCCCCTCGCCCCCTCCAACCGCCACCAAGGCCCAAGCAGCACTGGCGGAAGCTCCAGGAAAGCTGAGGGGCAGCTCGCAGGCACCACCTCCTGTCCACGACATCTGATAATTGACCTCTCCCTGCTTCTACACAAACCTGGGTGGGTACCACTGTGGATCCTGGGTGGCCCGGCTTGTGGCCACCCTTGTCTCCTTGGGTGACCTGCTCCAGCGCCCCATGCTTAGTGAGGTCACCTGCTTTTGAGGCTCACATGCATCTTTGTCTCGCTATGTTCACACACCTACTAGGCAACTCCCCTCAGCGGCCTCACAGGCACCCCTGATTCATCACAGCCAGACTGATCTTCAGTCCGAACCCTGTTCTCCCTGTGGCCCCCAGCAGGGAAGAAGCCCCTGCCCACCAAAGCCACTGCAGAAAGAAACCCGGGGGTCACCCTTAACAATCCCCTCAACCTCCATGTCCAGCCAGCCATCTCCATGCTCAAGACCGAGGCCAGCACAGACTCAAGCCTGCCCACCACTCACTGTGCCCCTACCTCACCCTGCTCCAGCTGCCATCACCCTCACCCAGACTTCTGTTGGTTCCCTGCTGCCACCAGTGCCCACAAGAAAGCCAGTGAGTTTGTTAAGAAACAAATTATACATACATATACACATATATATGTTTTTTGAGATTTTTCTTTTTGAGACGGGGTAATGCTGTGTTGCCCAGCCTGGAGTGCAGTGGTGCTGTCATGGCTCAATGCTGCCTCGAACTCCGGCCTCAGCCTCCTGAATAGCTGGGACCACAGGCATATGCCACCATGCCAGTAGACCTTTAAAACTGAATGTCCCCTGGGCCCCAGGAGGCCCCTCATGGGCCACCTGCACGAACTCCAGCCTCACCCAGTACCTCTGCTTTATGGGTAGCGCAGCTCCTGCGTCTGCTCTGAAACGTATCTGGATGAACAGACTGTCACTGCCCTGTGCAAAAACCACCTTCAAGGCCCTGCATAATCTCAGTATGTCTGCTCCTTCCCACATGCCCTTCACTGCACTGGGCGCAGGACTCTACAGTTTCCAAGAACCGTTCCTGTTCCCTGTCCCACTTATCCCATCACAGCAGCCCACAGTGGGCAGAACGGTCTCCATCAGAGGCAAGAGGCTGCTCAGGGCAGGGCAGCAGGCTGCTGGGGGTCAGCAATGTCCCCCGAGTGCCCGGCACCTGCAAGCTCTCCCACCTCCCTTCACTCAGCAATGTCCCCGAGTGCCCGGCACCTGCAAGCTCTCCCACCTCCCTTCACTCAGCAATGTCCCCAGAGTGCCCAGCACCTGCAAGCTCTCCCACCTTCCTTCAGTCGGTCAGCAGCCCTGGTGCTGCTCAGCAGAGCTGGGGCCTCCAGCCTCCCCAGCTGACACCTCCTTCCCTTGATACCGCTTCACCTGCCACTGACCCAGGCCCAGCTCCCAGTTTCACGTGGGGAAGGCAGGTGGGGGGATGGGACAGCAACCATGACATTCTGCAGAGAGCCTGGGACAGACACTGATGATTCCCTTTTATTAATTTTTTTAATAAATTCAAGAACAGCTCTATTTTCCCTCCTCCCCCCAGAGCAACAAAAATCAACTAAAAGGGCCTATTGCCTGGGGGGCGGAGGGTGCTAGGAGTCGTAATCCTCTTCATCCTCTGCGTCTGGTGCTGAAGGGCCTGGGGGTGCTGGGGGCAACGGCAGAGTAGAGGCGAAGGGCAGGAAGGGTGTCGGGGGGCTGCAGGGCAGAAGGCAGGGGGGAGTCAAGCCTGAGCCCCACCTGCCCTCCACAGGGGCAGCTGCCAAGACCTTCCTTCCCCCATCCTCCCTCCCACCACTACCCTCCAGATGCATGGGACCAAGGCTCAAGGCAGTTCAGGCAGGGCAGGCCCAGGATCCACCCATGGGCGCTGGCAGGGTGGGACAGGATCTCTCGGAAGAACAGTCTCCTGCCTTCAGGCCCTCCTCAGTTATTCTCCTCCCACCCCCAAATCTGCCACAATCAGCAAGACCAAGGAGCCAGGAAAAGCAGGAGGGGTGAGCCGGCTCTGGGTGAGTCTGCCAGCGCCCTCCCATGGCTCTGCGCTGCTCACCTCTGAAAGTGGGCCGGGGGGTGGCTGGCCTGGGGTGGGGGTTGTGATGTCTCTTCTTCTCCATCAGTGTCTGTGTCCTCAGATTCATCCTGCGAGCACCGCAGAGGTCAGAGTTGACAAGAAAAGGCAAGAGCCCATCACCGGGAGTGACAGAGACAGCAGGAGACCTCATAGCCCCAATTTACAATGAAACTGGGGTACAAAGAGGTCACAGAAAAGGACGAGAGCTGGCCTCCAGCTGGTTCAGTCCGAGGTGAGGCTGCCGGTCCCATCACCAAGGGCAGGCTGAAGGGTTGGGGCCTCACTCACCTCCTGCTCCGAGTCTGTCCCGGACAGCTTCTTGTCCTTGCTTTTCGTTCCCATCCCACCGTTCTTTCGGCTGCCACTGCCTGGCTTCCGGCCCCTTTGGGAAGGTACAGTCCATCTGCCCAGAGGTCTCCCTACTCCTCGGCCACCCCAAGCCCTGTGGCCTTGGCCTTCCCCACTGTACGCCAGGCCCTGGCCGCACCTGCGGGGGCCCTTTTCCCCATCCATGTGGTTGTCCTCCCCGTCTCCCTGCATGTCAGGCACAGATGCCACCAAGTCTTTCAAGAAGTCAAACTGCTGCTCCAGCTCGATGCACTGCTTCCTGGAAGAGGTGGGGAGGGGCTGGCACTCAGGAGGGGCCCAGACACCCAGACCCTCAGCGAGTGACAGCAAGGGGCCCCGGACGTCAGACTGGAGCCCAGGCCCCATCACCACCCCCAGGTCTGCCCTCCTTTGCTCAGGTGGCTCCCTCTGCCGGGACGCCCAGCCCCTCCTCCACCAGTCTGAGGCCTCGCTGGTGTCCCCGCCGCCGCCCACCTCCCTCGCTATCCAGGCTCTGCCTCCCTCCGCGCGTGAACTCCCCGCGCCAGCCCCGCCGCTCACAGGTGGGATGTGGTCATGGTCTTGGCGTTTCGGGACTGGGTCACCTGGCAGGCCTTCTTCAACAGCGACTCTAGGAAGAGCTCGAGCGCTCGGGCTGAGGGGCGTCAAGGACAACGCGGGGCGGGAGAGGGCGACCTGCTGCCTTCCTCCCCCACGCCCCTCGACCCGGCCAGACCCCGGCAGGATACAGATGATGACAGGCACTGCCGCCGCCACCTTCCCAATCTCTTCGTCCGTCTGCATGATCTTCTTGATCCGCGCCTGCAGGTAGGGGAGCAGAGTTCAGACCCCGTCGCCTCCGTCCCCGAAGGGGATGCTGGGGGAGGAAGAGGCATCCCCGGAGAAAAGGGGCGGGGGACAGGAGGGCACGGAGGGGGCGGGGCGTCCAGGCCCCCGAACACAGCGGCGCGCCCGCCTCCCCAGCGGGAACTGGGCCTAAGCCTCCCGGGAGCAGGGCCCACTCCTGCCGGGCTCTGCCACGTGCTCACCGGCGGGAACCGCGCGTTGTACTTCTTCTTCTTGCTCGGCATCTCGAGGCCTCTCTCACCGCGTCGGGTCCAGCGCCGCCGCCCGCAGCCTCCCGGCTCCCGGGCCTGCTCGCCGCCCGCCCGCCGCGGTTCCCCCGGGTCCTGGTGCCGCCCGCTCCGCCCCCGCTGCTTCCCGTGGGGTCCTAGCGCCGCCAGTTAAGACGCCGCTCGCCGGGCCCTAGTGCCCTCTTCCTGGAGCCTCCCGGGCGGTGCGCGTCAGTCCCGGGTCTGGACCGCCGCTCCCGCCTGCCCCCAAGGCCAGAAGAGCGAACGTTGGCCCCGCCCCCCCCGGCGCCCCCCCCCCGCGGTTTCCCGCGATGTCCCCGCCCCCCAGCAGCACCTCCCCTCTGGCCCCGCCCCTTCCCCTGTCGGCCCCGCCCCGCTTTGCGGCGCTGTGGCCGGCTGTCCCGCCCCGTGGCGGCGCGGCGCTAAGATGGCGGCGGCGGCAGCGGCGGCCGTGGCGGGGGCGGGGCGCGGTGGCGGTGGCGCGGAGCCGCGGCAGGAGCGGAGTCGGGCCCGGGGCTGGGTCGGCGTCGAACGCAGCGAAGGCCGGAGGTGACTGCGGGCGGCTGGAGGGGCAGGGCAGGGCCGGGGCGGGGGCGCAGCTCGGGCCGTGGACGCTAATGGCGGCGGGCGCGGCAAGGCCGGAGCCTGCGCTCCTACAGGCTCTAACAAGTCCAGGTTCGAGTCCAGGCACCGCCCCATTGGCCTCGGACCGGATCGTGCCCTCTCTGGGCCTCAGTGTCGTCGTCTTTAAGTGGGCCCGATGACGCCTGCCCAGGAGGCCTGGCCCTACAGAGCCGGCCTCGGGAGCTGCGCGAACCTGCGTTTCTCTGCCTCCCTCCATTAAATGCCAGCGCTCCAGATACCTGCCGGAAAAGGGGACCTTGGCAGGGCCGGGAGGTGTAGCTGGGGCGATGCTCCCACGCCTGGATTCACCTTTCGGCTCTGTTACACACTACGGGTGTGACCTTGGGCAATTCCTTTTTCTCTGAGCCTCAGTTTCCTTGTCTATAAGTCAAGGAGAATGGTAATAACTGTAGCAACCCTTCTGGAGCGCTCACTCCTCAGGTATCTAATTTTCACAACGGATCTACGGGACAGGAACAGTTGTTAGCCCATTGTAAAGATGAGGCAACTGAGGCGCATCGACAGTAACTCTTACCCAGGGCCACAGTTTAATCCCGTGCCTAGCACCTGTAGTTACTGTCTCTGACTCCGCCTTCCCTTGGTTCCCTCACAGCAGGATGGAACCAAGTGAGGAGCTAGAAGAGGAGGACTCTCCAGGTGGCCGTGAGGATGGCTTCACCGCTGAGCACCTGGCTGCAGAGGCCATGGCAGCTGACATGGACCCCTGGCTAGTATTTGATGCCCGAACAACGCCTGCCACCGAGCTGGATACCTGGCTGGCCAAGTACCCACCATCCCAAGTTACCCGTTATGGGGACCCCGGTTCACCCAATTCAGAGCCTGTGGGCTGGATTGCAGTGTATGGGCACGGCTACAGCCCCAACTCCGGGGACGTGCAGGGCCTGCAGGCAGCCTGGGAAGCACTGCAGACCAGCGGGCGGCCCATCACTCCAGGTACCCTGCGACAGCTGGCTATCACCCACCATGTGCTCTCGGGCAAGTGGCTGATGCATCTGGCACCGGGTTTCAAGCTGGACCACGCCTGGGCTGGCATTGCCCGGGCTGTGGTTGAAGGCCAGCTTCAGGTGGCCAAGGTGAGCCCACGGGCCAAGGAGGGTGGGCGCCAGGTCATCTGTGTTTACACGGATGACTTCACGGACCGATTGGGTGTACTGGAGGCAGATTCAGCCATCCGTGCAGCAGGCATTAAGTGCCTGCTCACCTACAAGCCTGACGTCTACACCTACCTGGGCATCTACCGGGCCAACCGCTGGCACCTCTGCCCCACTCTCTATGAGAGCCGTTTCCAGCTTGGGGGTGGTGCCCGTGGCTCCCGAGTGCTTGACCGTGCCAACAATGTGGAGCTGACTTAGAGGGGCCAAACTGAGGAGACTGCCTTCTGCCTCCTCCATGCTGGGGATGGATCCTCCTGTCTTCCTCCTTGTCCCATGAAGGCCAACCCTCCAGCTCTGGGGACTAGATCACTTGGGAACGACCTGCATCTTCAGTCCGCTTGAACTTCTGCCCTCTGTTCAGGGCTGGCTCAAGCCCCCACAGGCTGGGGCACTCCAGTTCCTGAGGGACGAACCCTCAGCCTCCCTTTTTAATGCTGCTCCTCTCCACTGCCCAGGACCAGGGTTTGGGTGCAGACACCTAGGAGAGCCTTCCTTGGCCACGCTCATCCCCGCTATACCTCCCCTTCCTCCTGCATCTCCCCTTCTCTCCTTCCCCCTCACAAGGGGGAAAACTTAGTGCTTCCAGCCCTTGTCCTTGGAGCCTTCATGGTCCAGAGGGTAGGGGCCCCGCTGGCCTGAGCATGCCATTTTGGGGGGAGGGTAGTTGTGCCTACTCATCCCCTGGCAGAGGGAATGCCAGGGCCATGGACATGAGACCTGCTCATCCCTGCCAACTCACACAGCCTACACCACCACTGTCCCCCCTTCCATGCCTACTTTGACATGTGCCTGCTCCTGGCATTTCAATAAAACCCATCTTGGGTCTGTGTCTTGAGTGTTTTTTAAAATACTGTCTTGGTGGTTACCTGCTTAGGTTGCTAGAGAGAGGCAGGGCCAGGAGAGACTACCCCCTTGACCCAGCCAGGCCCTCATAGCTGCCCCTAGCTATAAGATGTGCCTCACTGCTGAGGCTGGGCCCTGTCATTAGAACCTCTGCAAAAGCAGCCCCACTTCTCCTCCATCCCAAATCAGTTTCTCAGTGATTTCCCATAATTCCAGGGATCGACTCCTCCAGGAACGTCTAAGGGGCCACTGTTAGCCCTCAGGGTGCACATGTACATATTAGAAAAAGGAACCCTGTAAGTCCAAGCAGTCCTAGGTTGGGGTATGTGGTTTGGGAGCAGAGGATGGGCTGGATTTCCACACCCTAGGCTGGACATCCTTGTGCGGTGAACAACCTGCACAACCCTGAGTGGTCTCTTTGGAAGCCCTGCCATTGCTCCTCCCCTACCACCCTGACTATTAGAGGGCCCACTGGACAGTTTGCAAAGCACTTTCATGTGTATATTTCTCAGAACTTCTTTAGGAGACGTTGGCCCCATTGTGTGGTCAAGGAAATTGAAGCCAAGAAGGGAAAGGAGTGTTCTCAGTGTCATATGATGAGGTGGGCAGAGTGAGACTTGCATCCCAGCCACTTTCTCAGGCAGTGAGTCCCTGCGCTCACCGAGGAGAGCTCACCTGAGCTTTTAACAACGCACAAAGCACCTTTCACCCACGTGATCTCACTAGCCTACCCTGCTCTGCTGGGACTTGCTGTTGGAGCCTGGCTCCTACACCCCTCCACCTCTCCAGCCCTGTGTCTGGCCCTGGTCTTGGTTGGGGGCCAGGGTGTCTGGCAGGGAGCCCCTTGGGACACAGCTCTCGTGCCGGGGCTGACTCAGCCTCCAGCAGTCTCACCGAATTGGAATTTAGAGCAGGGGAGCGGAGATGCCACCGGGCTGACTGGGTGGAAGTGGCTGAGTCATGAGATGCTGGCTCAGTGCTCTCTCCAGCTTCCTCCCCACCCTGAGCTTCCCCAGGTCTGAGTCCCCCTCTGCCCAGCCTTGGGAAGTCCCTAGAGCTGGGTGGTCTCCGAGTTGGAGCCTGGTGCTCTGCCTCCCTCAGACCATCAGTGCCTTGCACTCGACCAAAGTGGGCCAAGGTACCTCATGGATCCAGCAGAGATGCCCAAGTGGGGTCAACAGCACTGGCTTCTTCTGTAGCTGAGTGTGTCACACACACAGCCCCTCTTAATGCCCATGCCCTGCCCCAGCCCACAACCCACCTCTCCCAAGCCACCTCCACTCTCCCCTTGTCCCCCTCCATTCTCCACAGCCAGGTCAACAGATCCCTCCTGCAGAGTGGCCATGTCCTTCTGCCAAAAGCCCTTCTGTGGCTCCCTTCGGCCTGCAAGATAGAGTCCACTCTCCTGCACTGGACATGACCTGGTGCCCATCGACTGCCCCCGCTTACCTCGGGCACCCCTTTCTGCCCATGCTCACCCCGCTGGAGCCGTCTGGCACTTCCTTCACCACCTGGTGAGCAGCCCTGGGCCTCAGGCTTCCTTCTGCTTGAACACCTGCCTTGCAGCCCTGATGGCAGGAGTGTGTGGTGACTTGTGTAATGGCTTGATTGATGTCCGTCTCCTGCTGGCCCCTAAGGCCCATGCCCATACTGTGCTCCATGAAGGCAGGAACAGTGTCTAGATCTCAGCCCTGTCCCCAGAGCCTAGCACAGTGCTTGGCCAGAACGACTCCATAAATTATTACACAAATGAATGAAGTACTTGGTGACAGGTTCAGCCCCTGCCAGACCCTTCTGTCTCATCCAGTTTCCACTCCCTGCTTCACACTCCTTGTCCAAGAACGTTAAGCTGCATGTGACTTTCTTGCACACACGCTGGCCTTTCTCATTTTCACGCCTTTGCTTGTGCCATAGCCTCTGCTTGGCTTACCCTCGCCCACTTCCTTTCCTGGTTCCATGTCGCACACCCACCGGCTCAGGTGTAATTCTCCAGGATCCTCCTGCAATCTTCCTCGCCCCAACTGTCCCAGGCATGTCCCCGAGGCTCCCACAACTCCCACCGGCCTGCTTCTCTCATTTGCGTGTCACGTCCTTTCAGAACAGTGGCTATGCTTTATCTTCCAGCATCCGGCATAGGGCCCAGCCTAGTGCAGATGCCAAGTAAACATTTTTTTTGAGGCAGGGTCTTGCTCTGTTGCCCAGGCTGGAGTGCAGTGGCATGATCATGGCTCACTGCAACTTTGAACTCCTAGGCTCAAGCGATCCTCCCACCTTAGCCTCCCAAAGTGCTGGAATTACAAATATGAACCACTGCACCCAGCCAAACATTCTTTTTTTTTTT